AGCTCCAAGGCCACACTGGACAAATATTAGCAATTACAGAAACAGTTGAGCAGAAACAGGTGGCTCAGACAGCTTCAAAGAGAGACAAAATAGTCAAAAAATTGCTAACTATATGGTATCTAGTTCTAAATTCATCACTGTAATTAAAGGTTAGTAAGCTGCAATGATCACTGTTGTTACCACCTGGCCCTGAGAGGCTTTTCATTTAACATCATCTGCTTTTGTAAAATCGTGCCCTTTTTCCTCTATCTGTGAACAACAAGAGAAATATTGAGAGAAAGAACTGCATTTGTTAAAGTTAACTTTGTGAATTTTTGTTTTTGCTCCCCGTTTTTCCCCTCTGTGAGAGTATGTGGGGGATGACAGAGACTGCACTCAAACCTTTTAGAGAGAACAGCAGCAGACCAGGCAGTTCACAACCCCCTGCTACCTGTCTAAGAAAAAGCCCCAGGACAGTACTCAGTTTGTTAAGAAGTCATGATTTATTGGTTTTTTAAAATCTTTTTATATACCCTTTTAGAGTTAATTTTGTGTTTTAAGTAATTATGAGTTTATGCAGTTGCAGTTTTTTAGAGTTTTACTAGAGAATTTGTTGTGGTTCTTTGAAAGTTCAAAAAGCCCCTTTTTAAAAAGTGTTTAAGGTGAATATTAACAGAAGTAAAAGTTACCTTGCAATAATTAGTTTTAAAACCTAATGTTAAAATATTGAATGATTTACAGCTACTAAGAAAACAACCTTCCAAATAATGTTATCTACAAAATATATTTATGGTTTAAAAAATAATTAGTTAGGAGAATTTCACTGTGCAAGACAAAGTTAAGCATATGTTACCCATTTGTTTGTTTTTTTCCACAATTTTAATAAGATAATTTCAATGTGATTTTTTTTGTTATAAAAAACATGGGTAACAGCATATATATACCAATTTGGACTTTGGATTTTAATTAGAAGTTAGACTTGATGTTTTTGAAAAGTGCTACAAAAGCTGAGTGGCAACTGGCCAAATCCTGTGTTGTGGTTTTTCTATAGTAAAACTGCACTTTAAAATCCTAACCAATTTAAGCATATACTAGGCAAATTCTTGTTTTGAATAAGTATTTTTAGTAACATTTGCAGTTACTGTGAGTTATTTTCAAAGCCGGATGATATAGAATTGTGATGTATTTGTTACATTTTGATAATCTTTATAGTGAATCCATGTTACTGTTATATTGTGTTTAAAAAGTATATGCCAAACTTTCAGTTGCCTTTTTATAATTGAGTAAGATTAAGTTACGCTTCTATTTGATATAGATTTAGCGTTAATAGAATTAAGCAAAGTTAAGTTTTATTATGTTTAAGTTTGAATGTTTTTAAGTTAAGTTTTATAACTTTGATTTTCTTTTAAGGTTTTGTTATTTCCTTTTGTTAATTAATAATTAATTTTAATCAGGTCTAAATATTGTTTAATTTGAATTGGTTTATGTTTTATTGGAGACACTTGTTTAAACTGTGAAGTATAGTTATTTTCTTAGAGAGATGAAGATGACTACAACTGAAACAGCTGTGATAGAACACTGATGAACCTGCTTGTAGATAGAGTGTTTCCAGAATTCCAAGAAAATGTACCATTGCTGAGGGTCGGCTGCCAT